CCTAATAGCGATGGCCTCCAATTTAAGAGTGATGGCCTCCGACCTAATAGCGATGGCCTCCAACCTAAGAGCGATTGCCTCCAACCTAATAGCGATGGCCTCCAACCTAATAGCGATGGCCTCCAATTTAAGAGTGATGGCCTCCGACCTAATAGCGATGGCCTCCAACCTAAGAGCGATTGCCTCCAACCTAATAGCGATGGCCTCCAACCTAATAGCGATGGCCTCCATCCTAATAGCAATGCTCAAGGTTTATACACATTTTTACACCAAGTTTTCTCCATGGACTCGTTCCGACACTAAGGAGGTGCCGATACTAATGCTCTCTGCTATATATTCGCGTCTCAGCCCCAGTCTTGGGTTCAGCTGTTCACAGTTTTTGGAGCTGAACATTCGGACGTTTGCTCGCCAGGCCAGCGCCGGCCGCCATGTAGGCCGAAGTCAATCTCACAAAGGTGGGACATGAATCATCTCACAAAGGTTGTTCAGCTTGTTTTCTTCTACATCGCCTTTTGTTTATCCAGTTTATGTGTTCATTCGCCATCTCTCGAAGCCATACCTCTCACTCGCTATCAACGAGGACGCTTCCTTTACAACCCCGGAGTGTCGACTACTTTGCTCGCCCAGTCTTGGACATTTGGACCTCTCGCACTGAGCACCAAAGAATCATGAGCGTCACGCTTCGTGTTCGATTTTTTTGTTTTCTTTGAGTTATATATGTTGATTTTGTCTACTGTCTACTTTTTCTGTAACCATGATTCCAAACTTGGCAGGCGGTGAGATGCCCGTGAGGGGGCCAAACCTGAGTGTGGAATTGCGCCAGAAAAGCGCTTGAATCTGTGTTAACCATGTTAGGCTTGAATCTCGAGCCTTTCTCAAGGCTCTTCAGGTTCAAAGTCAAAACAGAGCTCTTCGAGTTCAGTTCTCCTCGGTTGGAGAGTCTTGCTTCCACAAGTCCTTCCGCGTTTCACTGCGTGGCCTAAAGTGCCGCAGATGGGGTCTTTGCAGAATTGCAGCTTTGCAATCATAGCAGACTGCAGTATAGTGATAGATTTGCCGCATTCAATTTGATTTGTGAAGTCTTGCTGGTTTTTCAGGAATCAAAGAAGCAGCTGGTCCGCTTTTTGATGATGAACACTAGCCGATGTACGTAAAACAGAGCGTAGTGAGGCTTGAAATTTACTAACATTTCAAATTTGAATCGGATTTGGTATGCTTTGCCTTTCAATGCTCGCTCATTTTTACGTATATACAGCGTTTCATATTGTCACGTTTCTATACGCCGGAGAAGCAAGAAGGCCTAGTGCCGCAAATTGCCAGCTGGTGCTCAAGACAAACGGGTCAATATAGTTTCAACGCAAAGGCTGGGCGAGACTGCGTTGAGTGACATTGTATGGTCCATAGACGTATTCACGAATTAGTCGACTTTCCCGCAATTGTAACTTGAAGTCTCTTTTTTCGTGCCTTTGCACTCCGGGGAAACACTCGAACACGCAGGCAGAGCGAAAGAGCGATGTCGATGTCTTTGGCGCCTCACCCAGTTGGCATCAAGGCCGAATCACTCAAAGCACGAAAGCAACCGCATCAGCTAGCATCAGCGAATGCATCAACTAGCTGGAGTTACAGAGTTAGGGTGCCCGCCCCTCCGGTTCAACTCCCTGAAACGTGTCGATTTTTTACCTTCAATTGTGTGGTTTGTAGTTGGATTGGTATCGAGCTCCACTTCATGTACTGCCCATATGCGAGATTGCGGTGGGGGGCCGTATGCTCCGGGCTTCGCATCATTTCGATGCATTTGCACATCTGATAGCATCTGTTTTGGCGCAAGCTATGGCATGCAGAAGCCAAATTCCCGGAGCAGCACCCACAACGACGATGCAGTTTCCACCTCGTTCGTTAGACACGCTACGGCGCCACGTGCACAAAATGTGTTTCAACTCTGGCCCAAAGCAGAATTCGGTGCATCATTGTGGAAGGGCGATCGACGCGTGTGGAACCCTATGGCCTGAAACAAATGCCACCACAGGTTCACATGTTCAGCTGCTGGCAGCGTCGTCGAAATCACAAACACAAAAGTGCAACAGCTGCGTGAAGAGAAACAAGTGGTTTCCCACCGGGCCAATGCTCAACTCGCTCGAACACGCCTCCAAGAAGCTCAAAGGAGTCGCCAACGGCACTGCCAT